TACCCGGTTGGCTAAGGTACTGTTGGTATTTTAGGATGGAAAATTTAATGCTTTATAGCGATGACACAGCACGTTGACTAAAAAACTGAAAAAGGCAACGATGAGATTCGAACTATCGTTCTCACTATCTCCTTTCAGCAAGCTTAACCACTCGGCCATCGCATGCGACAACTATCATAACGTATCTTTCACAAATAGTGCAATAGCATTACTATGCACGGACGTGACGCAACATTATTTAAATAAGTCCTATTCGTGCGTCTTCACGGTTTACTGAGCTTTTCTTTTCTTGCTCCATTGGCTTGTCCAGCAGCATATGCCTTTTGTGAGTTAAGTCAATAAAATCTAGTACACTGTGTTAAATCTGATTACACATAAACGTAATTTGAATTCCTCAGACTAAACACACAGCTGTTATACCGGTACCTGGTCATTCGGGGCTAGCTTTTGCGTAGCGACCACCATCTCTGGAGTGGAATGGTTCCTTTTTGCCCTTCTTGCCATTGAAAACAGTGCACTGATGCAAGGCTTCTCTTATGTAACTAAGCAAAAACTTGCCCCGAATTACGAGCGCAACAGCGTTTTTGGTACGGAGAATTCAAATTACGTTCACGCGAATTTAAAGAACTCAGTTTTCAGATTTTATTCAAACTTAACTGACAAAAGGCTTATAGAAAGCGACTACCACGTTTATTTTGAGAGTGGCGCAGATTTAACTTTTGTTTTTAGAAAAACAATCAATTATCCCCCATTGATGTAGGACTTGGATCATAATTCATGCTGTTGCTGGATGTCAAAGGGTGTGTTGGGGGTAAACCTTCACGAGTTGCTCGAGTTTAACCTCGTCCCCACAGTCTGCCTTTTTTGACACAGCACACACGGCCATCAAGGTCAGGGTTGGCCTAGTGATCGTTGACTTGATGTTAGAATTTTAAAAGATCGAAATACCTGTTCAAAGTGCTATGCGTTGGTCAGATTTATCATGGTTTGGGATGTGAAAAGCAGCAGTTAGCTACGCAGCGTTACCTCGCTCGGGCAAGTGAATGCTCCATTCGGCTCCCATGAAGTCACTTTACTTCCCACCGGTTGCATCTGGAACAATGTCACAATGTATAACTTGCACTTTGGTGAGGATTGTAAATGATACCGAACTTTCAAGAAAGGAGCTGTACTCAGCAAACTTTACTCCCGGTATATGCTTTGTGGAAAGAATGCTTATGAAAAAAATACCAATCGTTTCAGACTCAAACCCAGTACGATTGGGAAGTTGTAGACAGTGAATCGAAATGTATGCACGAGGGACATTTTGAGATTGAAGGATGGAGCTTGCGTGATTCACATACAACAGCAGAATTTTACTGTAACAAATGAGTTAATAGCAGTGCTGCTTTCTTTTAGGCGAATATTCTCACTGTGTCATATCCATGGGCTTTGAAAAACTAGAAAAGAAATAAAACACAAGGAAAGCAAAAGATATTATTGAAAACCACCAGTCTCTATCTACTCCGCTGCTGAGCATTCACCCCAACGCTGAGTGCTTCTCCTCTTTAAAAAAAAACGCCATGCCCCCTTCCATCAACCCCCTCCTAAGATTTCAAAGAATACTTTGGAGCCCTGCATTCCACCTTAAAGAGAGTTGTGGGCTGATGCTGTGTGATGGAGACGGTTAACTGTCGGGTGTCTTAAGCTTACCATGTTATTCCACAAGCCCTTAGCAGTCTCAGCATGTCCTTTTGCACTAAAGTGAAAACAGTCTGGTGCCATGTATGAAAGGTCGCCGGATCCCTTATAAAAAGAGGTCAGATAGAGACTTCACCAGTGAAACCTATTGATGTGGATAGATTGCCTAATACAAAGAAATTAAATTGTCATGAAGAGCCAGAAACGTCTCGGTTAATTATCATTGTATTAATTTTTAACTGTATTGTTTCTTTCTGGTCAAGATGTTGCTAAGGGAGACCAACAGACAAAATTATCCCAGATCAGAAATCTTGTTTTCAACTGGAAACTCGAATCCTTTCGAAGATAAATAGTAAGGTAAACAAGCTTGCTTCAAAAATGAATTCCTAATCTCCTTTATACACCTCATGAAACAAACTATATCACATATATACACGACATAGTTACCTCAATCAGTGGGATCTTGGAATCGTGCAGGAACGGCTGGTATACAACAGTGAAGTCTTCTTTGTCGTCAAACGTACCACTGCCAATCAGCGCTTCTAACTGAATCTAATCACAAATAAGAACTATCAACGTGTATCGCGGATTCAGTCGAATGATTTTTATTTTGGACAGCTTATGTCCTGCAAATTATTCAAACGGAAACAAAATTTCTACCTGATTAGTACTTCTCGTACTTTACACCAATACCTATTCAATGTGACACTGACACAATGCACGACGATCGAGCATTAACCACCCATGGTTGACAACAAACCGTTTCATTCATTTTACATTCAGGCTGACTGCGCCCGATTCCGAAGTCCGTGTCATTGCAACGTTCAGTGAAAAGAACATTTGACATATACCAAGTGGCAAAGCTGCAAGGCCGTGAATTGGCTTAGTGGAGAATATTTGTATCTCAAGTCTTAGGAGAAATACAAGTTTTTGGGTGTTAACGACACGTATCAAATTAAAGCTGACTTCCTCATCGTCCATTTTCCTTTCAATTTTAATGACATAACCCATGACATTTGAAAATATATCTCTCCATATGTAACCCCTCAAAGCAGTCATGAGGCCCATTTTCATTTTGCAAATTGATGCCTACACTCTATTGCATGATAGAGCGAGTTGGAGGGCCTCGGCCTTTAGGGCCGATACTTTCAGAAATACAAGCTGACAGTCCTGCTGGTAGATTCAATCCTCCTTTACAAATCATCCAGACCACGTGCCACGAAATGCTCTAATAGCAGAGAATTTGACACTTACATGAATTGTGATTCGGTCGACGCAGGTTAATTTGAGCCTATTTACTGGCCTGCAACCTTCACTCAGGGACTTCATCACTCGCACTCACTACGCTAGTCTTGTCCCAGTCGTTACCTGGCCTTGCAGCTTTGCTATCGTGTCCGAAAGGCGCTCAATTAAGCACACATCACTAACTAACTGATAAATCATTAAGAATGATGAAGTGAATTTCGTTTTTTCCCCCTGGAAAATAGGTAGTTTCACCCTTTTCATTATTTCATTGATATTACTTAATTCTGTTTCTGTTTTATTTTTTTCGAAGGGAGGTCCCCCTCTCGCCATGCCGATGTAGCTGGATTCTTTACCTGGTACTGCAGCAGCGTTGGTGTCCACTCATTTTCAAGTTCCTCAACGGGGACATTCGCAACGCATGGGCAAAAGCCTCTTCAGAGAGAAAAAAGCTAACAGTCTGTAAGTTTGGCAACGTGGAGTGCTTTTCCTTTTCCTCTATTGCTTAAAGATAGTGCTTCTCTCCCATTTACCTGTAAAGCTGTTCAGCATGCAGTATGTAATTGCTTTTCCAAGGTACACTGTAAATAAAATCTGGTGTTTCCTGACGAAACATTCCAACACTTTTCACCAGTGTTAACATTTTGGTGTTATTTGAAAACTGTTGGTATTACTGTAACACCCTCGAGTGCACAGTAGCACTTGTAGGTGTATTTAAGCGGTATTTATCGGATAACACCTAAAAGTATTGTTTTAACAACACAAGAGGAGTGTTTGCAAAACTGAATTTTTTTTACCTGTGACTTGCTTTACACACGAATCCCTCGAATTCATTTATTTGTCGGAGGTCAAGAATGCCAATAACATTGACAAAGGTGCGGGGCATCTGTAGATGAGTACGAAAGGGAGGAAATGGCCAAAAAAAATCACTGAATATGCCCCCAAAAGCTCCATTCTTCTCATTTGACATACATGGAGCATGGAGGGCATCAACCCTTTCGAAGGAAAAAAAAAAGTATGGTGGTAGTCGGCCCTGGTCAGTGTTGTAACCGCGACCAAACACACTGAGTGACCCCTCCAGAAAATTGACCCCAGTTACACCACTGATTCTGCAAATTCCCCTGGGGTTCTTAAAAGCATTTCAATTTATCGGTTTTAAGCATGTGATCATTTGCAGAGTACAAGGTAACTGTATCATTAGAACAACCCCTGAAAACGCACCTTTGACACATATATGCCCCTAGACAACACTACAGGGGGCAATGTTCATATTGCAGCTGTACATCTATGTAACACATTCAGGCAGAATCGTACATCAGAATGGTATATTTATAGCTTTTAAATGTTGTTTTTGCCCCCTTTGAGCGTTTTTAATCATTGAAGAGTCCAAAAGATTCGTCACAATCCGCTTTAAGTTTTGTGGTCACCATGAAGAAGTCAGCGTACGGACGGGGGAAGAGTCAATAGCTCATCCCCCAAACCAAACCGGGAGATATATACCCCCCTCCCCCGGGATTTACACCCATGACACTGGTGTATCTGCATTATTCCTCTGCTTGCTCGTAGCGTGGCCTACCTTGTTATGCAACACCTGTAAGGCCCTGCGGACGTTGTTGACGTATGCTCCGGGAGAGTACAAGGTTTTGTCGTTGCACAAGTCACAAAGGTCATTACCCCCAATGAAGATAGTTATCAGCTTCCAATCCTTCTCGTAGTCGACGCTAGCTTCATCTTTCATCTTTTGCACTAAGCGCTCCGCTTGCTCCTCAATTTCGCTTTGATGGGATGTAGATAAGAAAACACTTCCTTTTTAAATATAAGGAAAAATTTGAAGTTTCACAATAGTTGCAGGAATTCACCCGACAATATCGTCCGCTAACAGAACAAATCGTCCTGAACGCGCGCTTTTGGAAGTTAAAACCCATTTCCTATAAAATGATTATTGGAAAAGAAAAATGTATCATGTGCCCATGGCTTTGAATGCTGCCTAATTTAAGGAGCATTTTATTCGGCCCTAGATTAAGTTGGCAGCACAGCGACATAGCTCCTAACACAGGGAATTCTATCGGTACTTACTAGGCCACTGCTCCTGGGAAGGCCACGTTCATTCCCGCGTTGCTTGTAAACCATGAACCCGTCCCCACGCCGTAACCCTTTAGAGACGGGTTGTATTTCCGAAGAATATCTACAAATGGAGTAGTAAACCACCATAAGGCCTGCATCTTTCATTGTCAATGGACCCAACGACGCATCCAACATGGATATAATCATGTTTGCAGTTTGACCAAAATCATCCATTTGCAATTGCGTGCATAACGTTCTCAACATCCGGACGAGGCAGGGTAATATTCAAGGGCGTATTGAAAACCTGCATGGGGGGGAAGAGAATTTTTCGGGGGTGTGTGTCAAAACTGATTAAAACGTTCTCCAACAGGGCATCTGGTTAAAACTGTTAACAGAAATGGCATAATCTTTTTCCCTCAAGCATTTCGAGTAAAATCTTACTAGCAAGTGTTGGCACTGTCTCGTAACTCTCATCCCCACCATGGCTGGATGGAGAAAATATAAACAAAAGAATAAAAACTTACACAATAAAATTCGACGATACACAAAGAATAGTGTGCAGCCAAATTATGCACATTAAAAAAACGACTTGGATGATCAGGGTCACAACATGACATTGTGGCTCGGGTATGTTAGAGGTGCGGTTATCTGGGAAGGGAGCTTCAGAAATATTCCTCAGAGATCCGTCCATGTGCCAAAAGAGACTGCTGGAGAAAATGCCTGGAAAACTCGACCTGCCCACAAGACAAATTTATTTGGTGAAAGCATCAAAGATTCTTTCCAATTTGAACTAAAACCGTTGGCGTATGGGGGTGGCATCGTTTTATTTATCAGTTTTTTTGAAGGATTTGAAATCGTCTACATTCTTGAAACGATACTACCACCTTTCTTTAGGGTAGGAGTTAAGGATTCTTTGCAGATGAAAGGCTTTGAACAATCGGTTTTTTTTCGGGGGGGATCCATCTTGAACCGCCCACTGGACCTGGAAAAGCCATTGACCGGAAAGTAAGTTTTTTAAACAAGGCTTGATGTTTCAGGGAGCATCTGGAAAGTCTGGTACCTGAAAGACTTCCCTCTGTATTGGTACAATAACTGCGGCAATGAACATGCTCCGCCTCCATTCGCTGCCTGAGATATAAAAATATGAAACGACTTTAAAGGTTTTTTTTTACTTTTCCCACAGGCGACCTAATAGTGTTTACAATAAGTACAAGTAAAGGGACATGGCTAATCTGGAGTACCAGTCGTTTTGGGGTAGAGAATTTAGCTGCTCACTCAAGAAAAATGTTTCTGAAGTGTTTCAAATTATATCGATGTTGTTTAAAGTCCGGAAGGGGACGGTGAGAGAAGTGTCATTATTTTTATTTTCTTGCACGGGGTATCTTTCATCAGTGAAGTTGTTATGAATAATCAGATCTACCTTGCATTTTCCTTAGATAATCAAACTAGTCTGAAGCAGTTTTAACACAAGTTTCTCACTGGAAAATGGTTGAAACCTTAAATGTGCAAAACTCTCAACTCATTTCTGATCACAATCCAACATTTCACTACAATTATTTCAAACAAACCTACTGTCAGCGAATCTCCAATGGCTCCAATCACTTTGATATCTGCAGGCCGTAACATGTGAACTGAGAAAAGTACAAAAAGCTAGTCATTACACGCATGTCCACACCTGACATCAGTGCTTGAATGAAACTGATCATTGCTACGTTGTTTAGATACTGGGTTGGCATTTAATGGGAAGACAGTAGGTATAAAATTAAAATCCAACTTTCCTTTCCTAGAGCAAACGTCTGTTCATTGAGATGTGTAGGACTATTCAGGGTTTGGGGGAAGAGGGAAATGTGCTTTTTTTCCTGAAACGATTGTTTATTTTGTTCTTTCAGTAAAGACCTCCTAATTTAGGAATTGAAACCCCTAAAGTGTCCCCCTGGGGGAGTTCCACCCTCTCTGCTGGAGTTCCAACCCCCCTCCGCCCCCCAGATATGTCCCTCATCAGCCAGCCTCTTAATCTTGGAAACAGCGAAGGAAATATAAAGGAAGCAAATCTACCTGAATTTGGTGGTGATTCCGATGGTGGGAGGATTTGACACGGAAAAATCTGTTGCTCGCCGTACTAAAATAAAGAATAAGTAAATCAGTGACATTATTCTGAAACTGCATAGTATGATAAACCTCATAGATACCTATTTGTACCCATACAACCGACAACTCGGACTCATTATAGTGTTGGGGACTTCACGTTACTACACACTCCACAGTGATTATTAAACTGGCCTGTTTTGTCCGCTGAAAGTTACTTGACCGAAACAGAAACAAGATTTTTAGAGCCAAGTATACTCTGCCTTCCATCCACCCTCTCCTCCTACCACCATTCGTAGAAAAGTGTTTGTGTGTAATGAAGAAACTGGGGGAATCACCTCTTGGGCCATCCAGTTCGTAAGTGTGACATCACTTCAGTTTAAACCACGCCCACTGCGCATAGAGTTTCATGGAACCATGGAACCGGAAGTTAACGCGCAACTTTAGAGTTCGTCCAATGGGAGCCTACAATTAGTGGCGCGTCTGCGTGTGTGACGAAGTCACTCATGGACTGGATACCGAAGTGAATATGTCACGGCGCAATCAACTGTGTGTAAAAGGCATTGGCGCAAGAACCCGCGCGTGAACCAACACGCGCGCGTACTCCTTTCGTTGGCACTACACATTGATCTCCACTATAAAGAAACTCCACTTTCTGGTTCAAAATGACGTCATACTTCGGTAATCTTTAAAGCCCATTCCATATCACTTTTACAGGATAAAAACGACATTGTACATAGAATAGAGCACATAAAAGTCAGGACACTAGCATTGAAGGGGAAAATGATAGCACACGACAGGTTAAAGCATGGATGCAAAATGACTTGTAAAAGAACATTCACGACAGCTAATGTTTTTGTGATGAACAGCTGTATGGCCAAATGCCCAAATGCCAGCAATATGCCCTTTAAAATGGCAGTTAGACTAAAACTGAAAACTAGGTTGGATGGGACAAAATGGCAAACAAACACTTGAAAAAACACAATGGATATTTTCAAAGGTTGCGCCAAAAAAAAAAAGATTGCGAAAAATACATTTGTAGGCCATATCATCCATCTTACCGTTGTAAAGCTGGTTTTTGATGGATTCACTGTCTTTCCTTATTTTCTGCTCTTACCGGCCATGTTGGATCCCCCGTACAGTTATAGCCCGGCAGTAAAGTGATAAGATCCCGGATGGTCCGGTTCCAGTCGTTGTAATCATCTCCAATCACGCCATCGTAGTCATACTCAAACTCTGAAACTCGAAGGAAAAGTAAGGGGCCACATAATTGTAAGTCCGATTCAAATGTTTATTAATAATTCAATGTTGGACAAAATGGGCCCTGTCATTTACGAAAACCTTGAGGCTCTGCTAAATAGGCCTGTTGTGACGTTGTCTGAGTAAGCCATTAATGCATTAACCAATCATTATAATGGTTTGTCTATCATGCCCTGATTCTTAACAGAATGGTGATCCATGCTGACCAGTCAATATGTCATGTAAAATATAAGTCTCGAGAGCACAGTTTTGAAATTGGACAATAATTGGCCTTCCTTCCTTAGAAGGCTTTATTGAGAAAGTACAAGCTCCTCTGCCCATTCGAGGCCCAAAATGGATGCTACACAAAGGTACGGTTTACTTGCTCAAAAACTAACATACCTATTACCTATTACTCGCAACCAAACTGATTTTGAAACAAACGATCATTGGAGTCATGGGGAGGGGGTGCTCCCCTCTGAAAGAAATCAAAAGAGAAAAGGGGGAAAGAGAAGAAAAACTCAAAGGAAAAAAAGGATTAAAGGGGATAGAAGTCACAAACCTGCATGATAATACCTAGAAATTGACCCCCTCCTGCCTTTGACGGTTTGTCAGCTGGCTACCGATAAGTGTTTTGCCTCCTCCCGAAAAAGACCCGGCAAAACCTATGCAAACCATTCTTCACAATAACAGTCACCCTGCGTGCCCAACCTCAGCGCGTCTTTGCCAATGGAATAATGACGTCTTGCCCTCTCACATCGCCTATGGCCAAGAGTTCGCTTCGTTGACTTTACCACACAATGTTCACTTGCCCCATTACGTTTCCAAAAGGTTCTCCAAGAATAACCATCAACCAAAGATCTGGAGCAGGTATAGCAATGTAAATTACCCTTTTTCAGGGTATCTGAAGGAGAACAATTATCGCCGATTTGGTCTCAATTAGGATGCAGTCATTTTAGATGGCATTGGGATGTTAAGATGTGCTGCATCCTGGACCCGGCGAGCCAGAGCTCTAAGCTCTCTCTGCCGATTCTTACCTTGTTCAGTTCCGTGGATGGGTACCACCACAACCAGCAGGAGTGTCCACACGGAAAACAGCCAGGCTTTTCTCAGATAGTTAGGTCGAGACATACCGAGTCGTGCATGCACCACATTTGCAATTGTAATCCGAAGCTGCTGTTGATTTCAAGTTAGAGTTCCAAAGCGGTTTTTCTCTCTAAAGTGCTTATATGATTTAGCGGATTGCACTGCAAGTCAAGAAACGCTACAAGAAACAACCAAATCGCAAGACTGTGGCTGGTTGCATATGCGTCCCGATTCCAGGTTAACTCCCAAGCTCATGCGAAGATTCATCGTGTTGAGTTGATAAATGCATGCTCCCGGATTTATTTAAGCGATTTACACTGGGGGCTTAAAAGATTACAAAGATATTTGAATAACCTGAGGGCATCGGTGGATCCTGGAGGGGCCGTGCTAAGGGGTATCCCCCTCTATCCAAAAGGGTCCTATTGTTTTTGAAATATAATGAACGGCGATTTCCGTCCTTCCCAAATCTTGTAAACAGCCTCAAAATCTAGCCTCATCCCTCAGAGATGCCTTAAAAACTTACACAAAGAACCCCCGTTTAACTCCGAAGGAAACCAAAATCCGCCCCCTACAGCAAAATTGACTTCTGGATCCACCCTTGCCTGAAGATGGATGATCACTTTATTTGTTCCCATGTTGTGTATAGGTACAGTGTGTCACGTGCACCTTTCATGTTTACGAGTGTTTAGGCGCACTTTGAAGCTCACGCCATGTTTATTTCGGGCCTAGGGCACTAGGTCTCATTGGTCCACCAAGCTTCGTTTACGTATGTCCTTTGCCATAGTGGTTGGAGGACCGCGGGCCACTGTGGCTCTATAGAAAAAGTTCACACATACACAAAGTGTGACGTCAACACTATAGGCTCATGGTTTGCATATTTGTTTCCACTCTTGAATGCGTTAACCTAAATGAGCATTTCATCGCATCCTTTTCACAGGTTAACATTTTAACACAAAAGGACGCGTGTGAGGATTTTTGTATTGCGACTGTATATGTTGTTATTACGGTCAAAGACATTTCTTTTTTATTCTCTCGTTTAATTTTGCTTTTAAACATCCGCTCTTGTCTTTCCCGTTTCAAATAACTTGGCTTTTTAATTCACTCCTTGAGGGAACCTCAATAACAGTGCCACTTACTTTACTGAGCAAAAAATAGATCGACCTGAAATCAATACTCCAAACAATGATATCTTTTGTATCTAAATGTATTTGCTGGAGAGACTGGATGTACCAAGTAACGACCAAGCCCCGCAAACACTACAATATTCGACCTCTTGTCAATTGTAGTCAGGTTTACTTTATCCGTTTACACAGATGTCATAATTCTTGTCGCAATCAACTTTGTGATCACCACTCGGTGAACATTACCTGTAAGGTTATCGTTTTGACCCATATAACCAATTAGGCCCTATGCCTACATTAATTATTAATACAAATGCGGCTGCACAAACATTTTTGCAATATACCTCCAGCCAAATGACAATCCATCATTGAACCCATAAAAACAGCATGAATACTGGGCTATGGACGTCTCTCAATCTGTCACTTTGGCCATCAGTTCTCAGCAACTCGCCGGGAGGGGTGATGATCCTCTAAATACTCCATCCAATGGATAAGCAAATTCGGATTAAAATGTCAACCTGATAACTATACAGATTTATCTAGTTGTCAATACAGTATAGCAATGTAAATGTCGGTGTTGAATGAACGTCATTTTTTCCAACCCCCAAGGTACCTAAAACATGATAAGATACCGTAGCGTCCAAAGTTTCAAGATCACTATTTAGTTGGAATAAAGCCGTTCAGAAGCATGCATGCCAGATCTACCAGAGTCCACTGGAATATGCTTGGATACATTCAGACAACCTTTTCATACACATTACTGCAAATTCCGGCTTCTTAACTAATACCAAAAGCTAAAGTACTTACAACGCATTTTTGTGATTTCTCAACCTTAATTCTACATTCAAAGTCTGTCGAAATGGGACAATGTCTGATTATATGCACACCAGTGAAAAGTACGTTTTCAGGCTCTTGTCGAATCAGGAGTGTATACATTTTAAAATCTTGGTATATCTTTACTGCCGAAAAACCTGGACACTGCAAGAAAAACAAGTTGACAAAGGATTGCAGCTCAGAGTTTGAGTTCAAATACTTTGATTATAAAAGTGGTCTGCAAAAATAAGAAAGCCAGAAATTATGTAAGATGGAGACTTGGAAAAACAAAGCAAAACTCCAACATGATAAGAATCCAGAAGGACAAGGCAAGCTTAGATGCGCTTCCTGAATCCCCACTCCCAGTATCCATGGTAGTGATTACAACATCCCTGTCCGTCGATGTCATCGCAGGTTTGTCTGTTGTGGCAGCCTGTCTACTGTTCAGGTTGGTGTAAATAAACGGCAACACCTGCACGTCGGAGAAGGTCAAACGGAACATGTCAACAGCTAATCTTTCATGACATTAATTTATGAGGCTGAGCACCGAAGCAACAACTAAAAGGATGGGTTCCTCCATCAGCTTACCTCTGTTGGGCAAGTGAAAGGTCCGTCAGGTACCCATGCTCTAGCCTTACTGCCTACGGGCTGCACCTGTAGAATACATAGGCCTGATTGATTTCCAGAGTATGGACAAGGGTGAAAACAACAAACTTGCTCTGTCTACAGTAAGAGTTTAATAAGATTTTGGCCAACTTCCTAGTGTGATGCAGGACATCATTTAAATTCATAAGGTTACTATAAAAGATATCGTTGGCTTTGGAAGATTGGTAAAAAGCTGGAAAACAAAGAGAATCTTCCATTAACGAGCGAGCGTAAAGAGGAGTGGTACTTATGAAGAATGATGGTAAGCAGCAAAGACTGTATCCTATAGAGTCTAGTCAGCTCTGGCAGTAGCACATAGGTCATAGCTAGTACATGCATACACAACCCAGCCACTCCGTGCTTAGGCCGGGGTCAGAGGTCAAACATTTGGCTCGGCTTGCTCTCTTACCATGTTATTCCATAGGCAGTTACCAGTCTCCGCATGACCCTTGGCGCCAAAATGGAAACAGTCTGGTGCCATGTACGAAATGTCTCCAGAACCCTATAGAATTGAATATAGGAGATTTTATGGCGGCTTTTGAAACATAACTTTTCATAATACGCGATCTAAAGTACTTGCTGTTTGCACAGGAGCTTGATACCTTCATTAGAATACTGAACACAATGAAAAAAAACCCCACCGAACATTAGTTTAATGGTTGAAAGTATTGTCGTTGAGTTACTTCTTCCATCAAATTCTTTGTTTGAAACGGCGTGCTGAATTTTTGTCGGCGGTAAACACAGAAAATTCAGGCATAAATTCTTGGAAAGGGGCCAAGTTTCGAAACTCACGTCAACCAACGGTAGTTTGGTCTCATGGAAAAACGGTTGATAGACTGCTGTGAAGTCATCTTTATCGTCGAACATTCCGCTGGTAACCATCCCTTCCAACATATCCTGAAAAGTAACGACGGATGGAATTTTAATCTTGGTTCTTAAGAATGATTCATTTTTTATCAGAGGAATGGCGTCACATGATGATGTAAAATAACTCTAAGATGTACCTGATACTGCTGCAGAATTGGTAGCCACTCATTTTGTAACTCTGTCTCCGTGGCATTCGCAACACATGGACAGAAGATCCTGTGAATCAAAGAAAACAATCTGGTTCCACTTTGGGTCAGATATTACTCCTAAAGGTACCGGGGCGGAATGCACCTTGCCCTCCCCGACCTTCTCCCCAATATCGCGGCAATGCATTTTCAGTGCCAAGCTGACTTTCCATCTGACAGCTGTGGCGGGTGGGCGTGATGAACTTTAAAGGACCATAACAAAAAACGTATGTTGTAACTTTCGCAACTGCATAGGTAGAGCAGGAGATGTTCTACATGCAAAGGAAGTCTTAAGGGTTCATTTACTGATATTGCCCATAACCTCTTTTTTTATCTGGTTGTGCTGCGCTCTTTTATTACCCGTGAGCAATTACCGACCGTGAGCAATGAATTAGTAATTTACCTGTGGCTGATATCACAAAGCAATCCGGGAAGCAGGTTTAATTCTCGGAGGTCAAGAATGCCCACAACACTAACCAAAGTCCGAGGTAACTGCAGCAGGAGTATAAAACAGTAAGAGAATAAAATACATTAACGGGTCCTACCGATGTTTTCCTTTAATCATCATTCGACCGCTGCGGAGCAGTCGACCACAATCTTCACGTCTATCCTGTGCTTTCCTTTGTAAACATAAACGTTCATTATGCTACTTTGTATTTTCTTCTTTGTACAAAACTCTTAATCTCTTTTAGGTTGTGTATTGAAAACTGCACTTTAATTGAAACATTCTGTGATTTATAGCGTAGTACACAGACACTCTTGTATAATACAGGCCTTGTGCGTACCCCTTTGACCCACTGACCAGTTACCGATTATATTAATCTAAAGGTTTCTCTTGAATAAGTGAGCCGAGCAAGGAAAAAGAAACTCGCTGATAAAGCGAGTTCTCTTCCATATCCAATAATGATTCGCTAGATCTGTCTCTAAAGATCTTTAATTTTTACTCACAAATCTTTTGGTGTTAGAATAGAATTCGAATAGTTTGTGGCTATTGTCGCTTAGTATCTTCGTTATTTGAAATGTACAGTTTCTATTGTCCTCATTATTTGTCAAGTAGTGTTCACACAGACATACCTGATCGTGCAGCACCCGTATGGCTCGCTGTATGTTACCGATGTACGCGCTCGGTGAGTATTTCTCCTTATCCTTACACACTGCACAAAGGTCATTGCCCCCAATAAAGATTGTCACCAGCTTCCAATCCTTGTCGAAGTCGATGCTAGCGTCGTCCTTCATCTTCTGCACCAGATTCTCTGCTTGTTCAGGAATATCACTGATTGTGACATTAGCAGAAGAGATATCATCAAAGTGACATTCAATGGAAACTTGAAAGGTAAAACGCGCAGTTACGACGGACGTCTTACCAGAATTCCGAGTGCTGTGACAGTTGAGGATGTCAATAGGTTCAGTGTGTATTGGCAATAGCCTACAGACAATGAGATACACTTGCTCCCTTTGGGCAGACTTTCTACTTTTCTGGAGGTGAACCGGAAACTTAACCAGGAAAATTTCAAAGGGGGGCTTGGGGCCAGATACGCACACAGTTTCTTTTCAGGAGGTGCTGAATGCAATTCCTTTTCTTTTCTGTTTGTTTGTTTGTTTGTTTTTTTGGCTTATGCATGAGTTGTGTACATGTCAAAATTTCGAAACGGGGAGGGGTGTAACTACTGAAGGCACCGGTAGGGAACGGGTCACTCCACCACGCATGCCCCCCTGTATTTACGCAAATGATGTAAACATGAATATACTCACAGTGCAACTGCGCCGGGTATCGCCACATTCATCCCAGCATTCTGCGAGGACCAGCCTCCAGTCCCAACACCGTATCCTTTCAAGTTGGGATTGTATTTCCGAAAAATGTCTGTTGAAAGAAAAAATTGTGAATAATTACCATAACTATAAAAAGTCTCGATCTCTGGGCTTTACAGGAGTCGGACTGAGAACTCTTCAAGAAAGAATAATTTGTTGTGCCTCTTTAGACCAAATGTTTCATCAAAATGCACATGAAAACCCATCCAATATGACATGAACACTAGAAGAGCTTTGCTTTATAAGTAGTTGACAATTTTCCTAGCGTCAGGCCGGTCCCACTCGAACAAACACGAACGCGATTTTGTCACGTCAGATCAAATACAGACGCTGCAAATTTGCCAAAAAATGAACACACTTCAACTCATACAACTTTTGCCAGGCGAGGATCCTGGTGATGGGGATGGGGGTCGAAACGTCTCCCCTTGTCTGCTCAGAGACAAATAAAGGTTAAAAAGTGCACAAAATAATTTGAAAAGGAAGGAAATTTGAACGCAAGATAGAATTCTGCAGATTCTCCTCATTTGTCCTTAAATAGAGACTAAAAACTGTAAGGTCTGACCGTTCCCCAGGAAAAATTCCCGGATCTGCCCCTTTTTTGTTGGAAACTTTTTTGAAGAAAGATTCGCTTTGGCATTATACCGGAGTGTGAACCAGCCTTGACTCAAAACTTTGTGAACGTTTTACACCGCTGCTAAATTCTGCTAAATTCTGCTAAAAACGATGGTAGTTTTTTGCCAACAAAGTTTAATAACTTAGATTCTCCAGGCCAAGACCTTAAAAAATAACGCTACTCAGTGATTCCTTTTCAGAGTGAATAAGGATATGAGCTTTGACATTTTCTAAAATCTTCTAGCCTTTCATGCCGTATGCTCCTTTGTCTCTGACAAAAAAACAATGTTAACTCCGTCAAGAAAAAATACGTTTGGATGCTCTTACTGGCCAGTGTTGGGACTGTCTCATAACTATCATCTCCGCCATGACTGAAAGGAATAAAAGCAATATTGTTTGAAACTTTGAATAGGCTATCGATGTCTGAATAGTCATGCATCTGCACCAAACTATGAGTATAAAATAAAGCTTTCGGTCCACAATAAACGAAGAAAAAAGAAACTCAGGGATGCCATACAGTAGCATTCTGTTTGTCATGTTACAATGAGTTGTCACTGACTACATTTTAGTGCGTACATCTTGCAGGCAATGTATTTTTCTCTCCAAGGAGGATACTCTCATTATGGGGCCAAAATGAAGCTAATCGGAGTATCAAAGAGTAAACTCATACGATTTAGAATTTAGTAATGCTAGATTGAAAGAGTCTGATAAAGAAAGCACTTTAGCTGCAAACTCAATTATTATCGACACAGGATTGAATGAAGTTCCAAATTGCAGTCCCATATCATTGCTGAGTTGGTCGCTCAGTCAAAAACGTTGTAGTTTTGCCAGTGGTTGTTTAACGAATAAAAAACACTGCCACCTTCGGTAGAGATGGAGCGTCATTTCCGAAAGTGAAAAATTAGAAAGGTCCTAAAACATCTTGGGAAAGGTTGATGTCAGTAGGCCCACCTAAATGCTTTGCCTCTGTATTGCAGTAGCATCTGTGGCAATGAGCATGCTCCACCGCCACTGGCAGCCTGAAACGAACAAGAGCAAAGCAGTGGAATGTACCAATCTGTTATTGAGAAACTTAAATACGAGATGGCATCTGTCGAATGGATCGCTTTTTGCCTTCAGATGACCCAATGGCTCTCTTATAGGCTTAACATCACTAATAATACGTCATACATGACACATACAGGCGGAGTTGGTACTTCGTATGCCCAAGCCTGATAAGATCATGGCTCCTCACATTTCAATGGTGATGATAAACAGTTCACCATAACTGCATACCCTGTGTATTTTACAAACTAATGTTTATGGGCGGCCTCATTTGGCACCCAATCCACCAATTTTCGAAATGATGAAAGCAACGCTAAATTTTCACCCAAGGGCGATACACGCCCAATCTGTAACAAACAGAAATAACAGTTGGTTAAGTACGGCCGCTCGGCACTGTCTCATCTCCACCTAACTTTGGTTTGGGAAAAAACCTCGGCACAGTTGCTTTAATATTTAGTAGCTTATCCTACGTCCGCGAGGGTTTTCGGCTGATAAAAACACCAGTATTCATCTGCAGTTAGTGGAGATCGCTAGCTTTGTTGTTTAATTTAATTTTAACAGTACCTATCCACATTGCGTATTTCTGCAGATTACTTACGGAAAGCGAATCCCCTATAGCTCCTATCACATTGATGTCAGCAGGACGCAACCTGTGAACTGACAATTTCACAAAAGAGAGAAAGAAAGAAAGAATCACCCCTAAGGAAGTAAGCATGCTGTCACTACCTTTTTTCTCAGTTTAAGAGCGGATGGGGGGGGGTCAACTTGGGCTAACCCCGAAAAGGATTAATTTACTTCCCTTTCTTCCAAATGCCATATAAAAATCCACCAATATATAGCATCACCAAGAAAGGCTACGTGAAGAAATGTCCATGTTTTTGCCTACCCCCTCGAAAAACACGTTTGCCACCCTCGACAATCTGGTCCAGGGTTAGTTCTTGGATGGTTAGCTTTTCGTTAGTTTATAACCCTTCTAGGTGTGTTTGGGTCATAATACGCTGCAGGAAATGTCAGTACCCATTATGTAGAAGACGTGTCAGTAATCACGCCACATCTAAAGTGTTTTCGTCTTTGGGTTTTCTCAACAATCACGTTTCCTGTTTCCATCGCCGTTCCCTACCCTCTCGTTTAGATTCCCATAATTCCTTGAAATACACCCCTTTAGTACACGAATGGCGAAACAGCACCCAGTTTGACTCGAAGTCTCACCTGAATTCGGAACTGACTGAGAAGGAGGAAGGATTTCACACGGAAAGATCTGCACCTCGCCGTACTGAAACAAAAACAACACAATTCATGTGATCATTTGTTTTTTTCAATCCTAGTGTTTGAATTCACGCTTTCTGCTATACTGCTTGCTCATCCATCCATCGGTTTGGATATTTATTTTTATTATCTTACCGGCCACGATGGATCCCCTGTACAGTTATAGCCTGGCAGTAAAGTGATAAGATCCTGGATGGTCCGGTTCAAGTCACTGTAGTCTTGGTCAAACACTCCATCATAATCATGCTCAAAATCTAAAGATATTGGAAAGAAAATCAGGGTAAATGTTTGTGTTATTTAAAACATGGACACAAGAGTAAGAGTAGGCCTCTAACAGAAGAAGAAGTAGTTCAGTTGAAAAATTGAAGTCGTTATCCCCAATTTACAATCTTGTTCAGATTGCACTGCCAAAATACTTGCTCACCGGCCTGACAGCCCAACTTGTGTCCAAAGACACACGAAATCCTACTATCCCCACAGGTTTCTTTTAGCTGTGTTACCACACTACGGGCTTTGTGCCAATCCCTTCGCGATTCTCCCGTGACAAACAAGGGTCTTCCAATAAAATGAAAATGAAGATTAAACAGTGGCCAGCGAAAAGAGCACGAATGGTTAGACTATAAACACAATGTAACCCCCCCCCCCATTTTAATATGGTGCGGCAATGCATTCCACGGGGTATCGAACTTTAGTAAGACAACTGAAGCCTCATTAGGTCCTGCACTTAAATACAAATACGACCAACCCAAATATCCTGAGTACAATTCCTTGTCCCAGATTGCGTTTACAAATCTTTACAGGGGAAATTAAAGTGATGGCTAAAATCAATTCCACAACCTGACTTAGGCATCTGCGCAGCTTGAAGTCATACAATTTTCGCATGATGTGCTTACCTTGCACCAATTCGGAATACACTACTCCCACTGTCACCAGGAACACAAAGACTGGAAAGAAGGGTCTGCCACTGTAAATCATGACTGGCGTTCAATCAAAACTTACGACGCTTGAAATGAAACTAACGAATTTTAGCAACAGGAAAAAAATCGAGCAACGTTTTCGCGAGACACCGTGTTGTCATCAGACAAAACTCGGTTGCCACACAAGAGCGCTAGAGCAACTAACACACTTCAGTTGTGATGTTCCTCAGTCATCAGATAATTTGTACTTAACCAGTTCATCTAGCGATTTACTTTATGGATTTGGAAGATAGCAATAATAACAAAGACTGCAATTAGGAGACAAATTGAAGATTGCTTCAGACGACAAGATGGCTGTGTTTATTTACTCGCATCAGGTCACGCAAACTCATAATTGACCGAAGCTCTGCAGAGAAAACAAACAGTCTGGTGACACAGATCTGCTGTGGGTCAAAAGACAGAACTTGCAATATCTAGACGGGTTATACGTTTTCAGAATGATCCATTCAAACAATGTCATATTGGACACTCAAACGTTGTTTCTCATTGTTGGTTTTCTGTATAATTTTCTGGAAAAATAGTCCCAACTACAAGCTTTAAGCTGGAGAGTATCATCGCTCTCCTTATGAATGTTAACTTAAATTTTGAAAATAAATCGTCAGTTTTTGGAGTGTATGTAAAAATTAATGTTAGGGAAATAAGATGTACACAATAGGCTAAATGGCGTTCCCAGACAGATTGGGGGAGATCCACCCGGACTTGATATGTTTTTGTTCCAAGTTTCGAAGTTTCAAGAAAGTGAAAACACAAACACTACAAGAAGCGGAAGCAACACTTCTCTTGAAGGAGGATGCTTGTTAGGACCGGAAAGAAGTCAAATCCTTTCAGACAACCCCAGCCTCAAAACCTTGATACGCTCCTGTGTGGTCTCGGTTCCGCTATGTAATATGCTCAGCCGTACACCGAATGAATATCATTAAGAGGATCGTCATCCGCCCAGCCCTGTCAACCTGAAGAGAAATGGTCCGGAGGATATTGAGAGAGAAATGTGTCCTGAAGCAGAAATTTGGACATTTCTGTATGTGGCCTTTTATACTCTACTGAGGGATGAGCAAATTTTTGCGGAATTTTACACGCTTTTCGAAGAAGAGGAAGTAATAGTGTCCCCCACATCTCTCTTTTCTGATTATTTCTCTGAAAGACTGCTCTTATGGGGTGGGCATACCCTCGATCCGCTAATGCGGGCCTAAAGCCTAATTTTTATTGTCTATAGTTTCCCAGGGCATGATGAAAAGGAAATGTACAAAAGACGGGCACACATTGTTGTTTCACTTATCGTGCTTTATGGTTAAATTAATTTATGATAGTCAGATAAGGAAATTTCACGTCAATAATTACAGATCATTACAAGCATATTTCAGTTGCTACGAAGAATGTTGGAGGTCTACGAGAAATAATATAATAATATACAGCGATTTAATGCAGTGAAATTCCATCGGTGTTAACAATTATCTTTATAGTCTTTTGATGCCCAGGAACGAGCTCTGTTTGGACGCCTAGGGAACGACCTTACAATCATCTCCAATATACCAAATACGAGGTATTTCGTAAATTCAGCAAAAATCGCTTAAAAGACAAATTGTTAAAAAAAATATATCAATAATAGCAAAGACGTCGACAAATTTGACACATCTTATGAATCTGAAAAAACAACAACGACCGAATTTCACTCTTTCATGATGACTATAAGCTGAACTTCAGCATTGGGACCAATGTAATAAAATGAAGAGGCAAAGGTCCCGTATTCAATGAATAGGAGAAAAACCGGCCACAGCTTTGCACGTATTACAGCACCGTTTGCTTAAAACGGTCAACTTCTTCATGTGACCAGTGGTAAAAGAAAAATGTTTCTCACGGAAAGCTGATATCAGTCTGTCCCAATTGATTTACCATCGCTCATGAAAGCCCTTCACACACTGAGCAATACAATCCTTTATCTTTAGTTTGTTTGCTGTGGAATGTGTAAATGTTGAGGGTTGAATCCTCAAGGAAGAGGCAGGAGTTTACATTGCCAGATAGATGTTCAGTTACTAAGGGAAAACAGCAAAGCTAGAGCAAGTTGAAGCAGGAACAGCAGCTGGCCACATAGACGTACGCCGCCCGTTCGGATACCACCGCTGGTAACATGGGACTCCGAGGTCGTTAACAGGCTGTTTTGGGCTGTAGCGAAATACGGCCTTTCCTAGGGAAATTGCAGAAAACATCAGACAAAATTGCGATTAATTAATTAATCTTTATCTGCCACAAGTTGCCCCCTCTTGTAAAGTGCAAAACACGAATTATTCCGTAGTTGTCTGTAACTGATAAACGCATTCAACCGTAGAAAGCTTTGATTAATTATCATTTCAATTTAACATTAAGCCTCAAGGGCCACTCATAATTCTTAAGTAATATTTGGCCCCTGATCAAACTTGTGTAGATTAATTTGTAATCCTAATGTAACTCTTATAAAAACTGCACCACAAAATGGTTGTACGAATTGTACCGGTGTTTAACTTTTGCAAACTCATGGCAAGAATTTTTTTAACAAGAATCTGTGTTCACGTGGAACTTTCCTGTACAGGCCTCGATAAACTGGCCTATCCCTTATTAAAAAACAGCGAACACACAATTAATTTAAAGTAAAGAAAGAAATCGACAAAATATTGGAAAGACTTCTGGTCTCGTCCCTTGAACTTACCTTTGTCGGACAGGGAATGTCAGTTGCGTTAGGATCCCAAGCCGAGGATTTTTGACCGATTGGCTGCAGCTGAGAGAAATACATAAAACGATGCATAAATATTCAAAACAACCGAAAAGTCTACAACCTGAGTACGTGGACGCTCTTTGCAGAATAATTTCCCGAGCACTCGCTTTCGATGTTATGACTAAGTGTGAAACTTAAATTTTGGCTAAAGTTGACAAAAATAAACTGCTTATAAAGCTTAATACGTGGTATAATTTTAAAGTTTTGTTGATCATGCTTTCTTTGTATGCAAAAGCGCATAAAAACGCAGTGACGCAAAAGTACATCGATTCTGAGTAAAAGGTTTGCTGAGATGAAAAAGTTCATGTACGGTTAAATGTATGCAGTGTTTCAGGTATCTTGGTAATAAAAAATACCAAAGGACTGAATTACCATATTGTTCCATAGCTCTCTTGCTGCAAACGCATGGCCCTTTGCACTAAGATGAAAACAGTCAGGCGCCATGTAAGACTGGTCTACTTTACCATCCTGACAAGATTGAAAAGAAAGTAACGTGCGTGTAAGGCCAAACATAATGAGAATATCACCTGGCCAAAAAAATAACGTCTCTTTTTGGTCTTGACTTGCAAAGCAGCAGGAAAGATCTAATATATAGCTGCGAAATCTATCACGTATTGGGTAGTGGATGCTGTTCCTATATGCAGCATTATTCGCCGCTGCTACTGTAATGACATGGTCGTCTCTGGGGGCCCCGCGGGAGAGCTATAGCTCTCCCTTCACGCTCGTGTAATAACTCCAATGTCTGGTAAACACCGCTTAGGTGCGCCGATTCACGAGTTCGGCGCAGACACTCATCCCTGCCATGGGGGCACGGCAATGCAGGCCCATTTTCGTCAGAATGTACGACGGGATTCACTTCATTTATTTGGTCTTTCACCGGGGGGGGGGCGGTGAACAAACGTTATGTATACTCACGTCACCAACTGGAAATCTGGTTTCCTCCATGAATGGCTGGTATACTACAGTGAAATCATCTCTGGTGTCATACCTGCCGCTGTTAACTAGTGCTTCTAGACCATCCTAATTGGCCACAGTAAACGATAGCCAAAACTATTACCAGTGTTAACGTAATTCCTACTATATAAATATTTGCTAGTTTTAATGCATACAGCAACTTAAATCTTAAATCTTAAACCATCTTAAATAATTATAGGGAACTGTTTGGGACAATATTTTCAGGTAGAGCGCGTGATTCCTTTTGGATATTGAGCTTCTACGTGCACTTATATTTTGAGTAAAATTACTGACTTGATATTCTCGGTTGAGTTCTTCAAGAGCCAGCCGTTCCTCTTCTGAGAGTTGGAGGATACATCCACAGAGTATTCTAAAGTGAAAAAATAGTGGAGCCAATTAATTTGCTCTTTGCGTCTCTTACAGCTCACTCCTTCGTCGAGTACTACATCGATTTTGATTTTGTGGCTTAAAAGTTGTTGGGGCTTACCTGTGAACAAGCTTGCAAATGAACTGCTCTTGTAAAACCAGCTCGGTAATGTTAAGAAGGCCCACGACATTGACGAAGGTCCGAGGCAACTTTAAGATTGGGGAACACAAAAGGCACTTTTTTTACAGTCGGAATGAAACATTTCATGGAGAAAAAACTTTCATACACATTATAACGACGTACACCCCAACCTGTTGGCTTGATGCCCTAACTCTTGTAAAAATAACTGATGTGTGAGGTATTTTAAATATCAAATCTGAGAGACATCTTGTCATAAAAAGTCAGCCGGCTGCCAGCAATGGAATTGATCATGTCTATGGAATATAAATTTCCTATCTACTTTCTCGTGTAAGTGGTCCAGAGCTTTGGTGATGTAGAAAACGTAATCCTCCACAGTGTAGTTGGACGGGTTTTCGCAATGCTCACAGATGTCGTTTCCGCCAACGAACAGCGTAACCACTTTCCAGTCATCGGCATAGGCCACGTCGGGGTGATTGAAGATTCGGTTCACCAGTTCCTCGGCCTGCCCAGGCATGTCACTGCAAAGGGAGTAAGTACTGGGAATCTACTGGCAAAGAGCGCCATATTCGCTTAGTTCATTGTACTTTCAACAGAATGAAACTTTATATTACGGTTTGAAAACCAGATTTTAAATAATGAGAGTGTGTATTTTTGTCCCTTTCTACGTTCCCATTGAATGAATACCAAGGTAGCGTAGTAATGAAGGCTGAGAACCAGAAAATGTCGACTGAGAGTTCGATAATGAGTACGAATCTTAGTGTCTGGATTACGGCCTGACACAGTTATGGCAATAAAACGTTGCAAATGTGTGCCCCACTCCGCGAAAACAAGTCTTAAGTTGCTAGAGGCACTTTTGAGTAAAAAAGTCCTTTAGAATAATTTTGCACAGTGTAAATCAATGGGAACCCACAGCATCTGTCACCATGGAGTATCCACTTTCATTAACATGCCAAACTGAGTGATACATCAAAACAAGAAACTGAATTTGCTTCGTCCAATACGAATGAAAACTCAAAAAGTGGATCTGGCGACTAAGACTCATTTTTGCAGAGCGAATCACGTATGTGCGACTAGAATGGTAGTCGGGTCAGCGTGTTTGTTTTTTAGTTTTAATTTTTCTATACTTTTCGACATAACTTAAGCCTCAGGGATCAGGAAATCTGAACATAATGGTTTCCGTCTTTCAAGCGCTGTTCGCACAATGTCGCCTTTAAAATTACTAAATGAGTTGGATTATGAGAGCTGGAACTTGAAGAAAGACAACCAGAACTGAAAACGTTTACCCCAGAAGACAAAGCTTAGGATATACCAGTTTGTCCAACAGTAATCACTTGTCAGTGAGGGGTGACTTATTGTAGGCGGGCCCAGGAATCAGTGGCTGTGGAACTGACTTGTTTTCATTTGATTGATTACTCTCGTAGAAGGTCTGCAGCAGACATGAGGAAGTTCAGAACAAAATTCCCTTCTCCATGCCCTGCAAATCAAATTTTTTTCAGGGCGATGGGTTTAGGAGATGAAGCCAGCTGGGTATTTAAGGTGGCTGGGTAAGTTTGGGCCGGTGGGGGTAGAGTTATAAAGAGCATGGGGAAGGTGGTGGGGGGAACATCCCCTACCCTTCCTCCTGAATTTACCTGGCGATTGAACCCGGGACAGCGAGGTTGAAATTCGATATGTCTGAGGTGACGTTTCCTATTCCCAGCGAGTATCCCATCAGTTCAGGATTGTAGTTTTTCAAAATATCTATAGAAAGGCAGAGCTAAAAAGTTACAGTTAGCAGTTTCTTCAGTCTCGATAATTTGATTTTGTCTCAAGTTAATTTTTCACAAATTCTTACCAACTTGGAATCACAAAATTTGGACTAATGGGAGAATACTCACTAGGTAACGTGAGAGCCTCTGTGAGGTTGTAATCTCCACCAATACTGAAACACAACAAAAGGTGATTCCTGTTGAAACTGATCCTTATAATTCTATCCGGAAAACATTCAGTACCAGAACCTTTTATACTAAGAAAAGGTGAGATCAAAATTAAATGCAATTTCAATAATTACCCCGTGGGTCATTTTCAGAAAATGTCTAAAAACAGTTCAATGAAGTGACATTATTTTTCTTTTATCTAGAAATCTCACCTCCACGATACTCCTCGATATTCATTGACAACTTCTAACAAATTACATGCAAGGGCACCATTTGCAGCCTAATAAAGACAAGAAAATACATGAAGGAGTTTGAGACTAGAAAATGTGATGTGACTACGAGGAGTTATATCAACAGTTTAAACGTGTAGCTGCGATGAATTTCAGTTTTAATACAATTTCTCTGCAATTTCATACTGTTCTTTAATTAATGAAAGAAAATGATTTGACATCCCTATTAGATTAAAAACATTGAAAAGTGTATACTTTTAAAACAAATAAAATTATCTGTGCTTGTCCAGAATTTGAGGGCGCTTTCGTTGTGATATAATCCAGGAAGACATGGTTCAGTGCGTTGGTTTTTCTGTTATAATTGTGAACGCTGAATTTTCTTATTGAAAACATTTCTGAAAAGGGGTTGATTGTTTGTTACTTTATTGCTATTTACTTACCCCACAATGAATCACCAAAGACAAGAAAATTTAGGCTTGGAAAACTTTGAAAATACAGGAGGTTTCGTGCACAAACCAAACATTGAGGCTTTCTTCCTATGATGTCACCATAGTTTTGCCCTTCAATATTATGGAAAATCACTTTAACATAAAACTCCCAAAGGGCAGCGAGACAACCTTTGACAGAGTGAAACATGAGTTCAAAATAAGGTAAACTGAGACACAAGTCTGCGTTGAAAATTCCAAATGCCGCTAAGCTTTCGAGGATCCAATTTCATAAACGAATAGTAACGGAAAGGGTCGAAGGAACATATGCCGTGCAATATGTTACTTTAATCGAAAGGCAAACCCGCCTGGCAAATTAACTGCGCCCCACAGATGAGAATCAAAGGCAAGATGAGGAAGCGCTGAACCACGCCAGTAAGTCAAGTGACCCAGAAAACTGATTTTCCAGAATGCATTAATTTTGAAAAGAAGAAAGAAGAAATAGAAGACAATTGCCCTTTCACACACAACATACCGTGATTGAGTCTCCAATGGCTCCAATAACCTTGACATTTGCTGGTGTCAGCATGTGGACTATACAAGACAACAAAAGAATTGTCAGCGTTTCAGACGGTTTATCGAGCGGGGCAGCTATGTTCTGATGAATGCTTACGTGCAATAGATTCCCAACCCTTGTGAAGAAGTTGGGGAAATTAAAAACATGTAATCTTTATGATTTTTATGCAAAAACGCGTGCTCCGTAACATGTTACCGATAGAAATTGAGTTTGCATATATATTACTGTTAGAGAAACGAAAGTGCACTTTATTCACCACGACGACATCACGTAATTCTCCTTAATTAAGTTCAGTATTCCGAGTTCGTTTACACACGTTACAGGCCTTTGTTTATTGTCATATTCGAAGCCTTACAGTAATTGTGGGAAATATAGAAGATTTGTTTTTATTCTATCCTTGTAACCTTGTAGGAGCAAGACTATTAAACGTTTCGTTCCAGTTTTGTAAATAAAAGAGTACTTTGGAGCCTGTCCTTTTGAACCTGTGTGTGGCATGTCACTGCACAGCTCGCATGCAACATATACTCCAGAAATTTGACCTAAATTGTCATTAGCTTGGCCAACGTCACTATTAGCGTTATAAGCAAAACTGTTTTGGAATAATTTCGGTTCGGAATAGCAAATCTAAATTTTGAAAGTGGATGAACAAAACGAAATGAACGATCCATTATTACTTTTGAGGTGTCTGCTATGGTATAGTAGCCATAGGGCCAAGGGACTATCATCTAAAGCGAATCTTACCCGATTTCGGCACCTGACTGGAAGTCTCTACGTCACAGTCAAAAAGCATTCTATGTTTCTGCGTACCAATAAATGGAAAATAAATGAAGTGAGGCAGGTGTCTTGACAATCTAGACGTCGTTAGTATATTTCGTATTGTTGTAATCTATAGATATAAGGCCCAGTCTATACATATTCTGTATGCTAATGTCATTTTTTGGATATATGAAAATAGCGGAATTCCCTAGATTGTCCAATTTTCTGACGCTTATTTTGATTCACAGAGCCTAGCTTAATAAAGTTCCTGACCCTCTTGAGTCACGCGTCAATCGTGTTTTTTGGTTGTCTCAACCCCGCACGTTTTGACACCGGGACTCGCACAAATAAAGTTTATCAGCAATTATCTTAGACCAAAGGTTTGTTCAAATCGCGTAATGGTGCCAGGCCTGTGTGTTCAGAGTGCAATTACCTCGCTGAGTGCCGGATATCACCGGCAAATACACCAATAGCAAACACTGCTATCTGTGTAGTATCTCGTGATGTTGCTAAACTACAGCTGCAACGTTTGAGGGATGGGACGCACATTTCTTTTTTTAAAAGGAATAAATACTTCGGGTTCTCATTTTTTTAGATGGGGCAAGGGGAATCGAAAATTGAACCAATTAATATTTTTAAGGTATTAAATCGATTGCCTCATTCCTCTAAAATCGGTAATATTTTCAGGTAATGGTATGGAAAGCTCAGTGAATTTGATGTAGTTTGAAATTAAGAGCGTGGATATTGAAGTAACAGTGCTTCGTACCAGATGTTGCACTGATTAAAAGGTAATCAATTTATTGGGACTGCCTTTAAATGGGGTGAAAATTTATATATTTATCCCCAAACAAACTTCAACAATCAAGTTCCATAAATAGACACAAGCCTAAACGTTGATCACTAAAGATATCACATGCACATGCAAAATTGGAGCCTTTTCCAAAAAACTAAAACAAAACAAAAACGATTTTGCAGATGTCACAGAATTTTAATTAACGCTCGGCTGATCGATCTTTTCCATGTTTCGTTTTGTTTTCTTGTTAGAATAGCATAAAAAGATATTGACTGTGGGCGTTCTTTTTTTTCCCCCCTGGTATTATTATGTGTCACCCTCTCACTCCATTTGTACTTTTCTCGTTGACAACGTTTATCCCTCCCTTCAGAGATTTTAGTCGATAGAATTTGTCCTTGGCTGGATAAAACCAGGCCAATGGGCACCACTTTGTTTTTAAGTAATGGCCACTGTTTATTTTTATGAAATGCTGCTTGATTCCATAATTATAGTAATACAAATGCTGAAGGTTTCCCAAGCCATATTAAAATCTTTTTAGTCCAATTCCTCAATTCAAATCTTCTAGTTCGTTCTCGACAGCTTTCACGTGCAACTGGAAAACCAATTCACTCTTTTGCTAATAGGTTTGAATTTTCTGTATCAACTTTTAAAAGGCCCTTCGAGAAGACTGGTCTTTAAATTTTGCCAAAGCTGTCGCTGAATGGAGACGCTCAGAGTTCAAACTCGTCTTGTACTACGGAAATCACTTGGAACTGTTTTTCAGTAAATTCATTTGTGTGTGCTTTAGCATTTCCCTTGCCAATACAACAGATTAACATCAAAGGTGAAAATCCCAAACGTGGACTTCTTTTAGTCTTGAAAAAAAAATGAACATTTTAACATAACATGAATGTATCTTGTTTTCCTCCTGTTAATGTACGACCATTTGGCTCCATTTGCAAGAAACTATGACGATTGACAAAACTGAACAAGATTGGTTTCAAATTTCGAGGCAAAAGACAGGTTTATATTTTCTGAATGATATTTTTTGATGTGAACGAGACAAAACGAGTGCTCAGAAAGGCGTGTTCCTTGGTTGAATTAGATTGAACAAAGGGAATTATGTGACAAAACACATTTTGCATTAATTGTAAATGTGTAGAATTAAGATCGGCTCCATTCAATGAATTCGCAAATACGAATCTGCGAATTTGAAAGAAATATATACCAATATAGCCAGACAAACCTATGATAAAACAGACAGTCTAATAAACAGCGGATTCGGGGAGGGGACAACGGGGGCCATGCTGGCCCCATTCCCTACGTATGATCTCTACCGTGCCCTTGTGCACCGCTTAGTTGAGAGTTAGCGCATGCGCACTCAATTACTATACTGTGGATTCATAGGCAGGCAACGTCGGACATCGTTCCGACACTTCTTTCCGCGGATAGAGACCATTATTTTTAACAAAATACAAACAAATGAAGTTCACAGAAATAACCAGATAATTAAAAATTGACCAGATAACATTAAACCACCGTAATTGATCAAACTAGCAAAGGCCAACTCGCAATAGCTTTAACATAACATGGTAACCTTTTTTAAAACACTCTTTCAATTATCAAGATATGCAGCATGTGTGGAAAAACTGGAGAACAGTTCAAATTTTTGAGTTTAAAATATCCTTTTTACGCTCGGAAAGGTAACGTACAAAGACATTATTTTTTCACCCCATTTCCTCCTAAATGTGACATATGATTAACAAGAAACACATCAAAAAACGAAATCTGAAGCCTAATTATGTTACTCAGGTATAAATGCAGTAAACTTTTACACAAGGCGGGAGATCTCCGCAGATGGATGTTGGTGCCATTCCAACATGGCGACGCCTACCGGCAAACAACTATACCAAAACTTCTGAAATTCAGAAAAGTCGTGGTCACTTTCTATTGCTTATTAGAAAGTAATAGAAAGTGACCACGACTTTTCCGAAGTTCAGCGTATGCCCACAAACTAAGTACAAGGGGTGAACATACGTGCCCACCCCCGAAAACAATTATAACAGAACAAAGGTTTTTGGTCTATTTAATTAACTTCCCTTAAAAGCGCGTTGAAAGATACCAAATGTTCATCACCCTTCTTTTTTGAAGGGTAATATACATAAAAGGCAATAAAAGGTCAAAAGAAATAAAAATCTCAGAAATTTTCCTCAGCTCACAAAATTAGTTTTGCTCGACCCTTGCGAGGAAAATAAACATCCACACTTAATCTTGCCTTGGAAAAGCATACAAGTGATAAATGTAGGTTCAGAGACTCATTTTTCTTTTCATTTCAATCATGCACTGATTATATTAAAGAACAGCCGGTGAAAGTCGCCTAATAGTTTCCGTGCGCTTCATACGATGTAGTGCATACGAGATATCTGTTTTAAGTGCACGCGTCACGGATACCGAGTTGCATGGGACGTAGCCTCATTTATGTGTCTGAGCAGGCTTCGTATTTCACCCGGCACCGTCTCTGACACACTCAATATGGGCTATTTACAATAGCGCGCCTCCAAGAGTTTGTAAGTCGTTGACCAATAACAATGCGCGAAATCTGTCGACCCAATGCACGTTTGGAAAGGGCCCACGAATTTCGCACATTGTGATTGGCCAACGCTTGCAAACTTTTAAAGGCGCTCTATTGTGAATCACTAGTATTCGTCAGCTAACTTGTCAACGCCAGTAATAGGGCTGTAAATTCCGAAAGCAAGCGATTATAACCCCCCATCATATTCTGATCAGAAAGATGGGCTATTGGATCATCTTCCATTGTTTTTTGTAGTATGAAAAGGAGGGGCTTGAGGTCTTTTCGACATTCCCAACAACCAAAATGTATTCAGTAGTAAAGAAAAGGGAAGAAAAGTACCAAAAATCTAATAAAATCTCAATTTTAGATTGAAAGGCATTTGTATCTTAAACAGGACCTTAGGGTCAAATGGTGTCCTGCAATATCCCTTCCCCCGCTTTAAGTCAGATTGAAGGCATCCCCGATCACCAGCACAGATTAACTAGTCAGTAAACGTGGAACGATTGATTTCAAGTTCAAACAATTAAGAATTCTGAGTGGAGAGTCTATTCTTCCACGTGCTATCGTTACATCGTTACAGCAACGGAAAACTGATGAAATAAACAAAGAAGAAACGCACTAATGTAATAAACCAGGCGTTTCATCATTTCAGGTTATTCTAAATTGCACATTTTTGTACCTTGTGAGCACTCGTTCGATCATCTCAGCAAGCATAAACCAGGCTGTGAAAAGCTAAGCTTCAACGCACAAATTAAACTAGCTCTTTCTTTCTATTTTTGCAACTGTAACGGATTGGGCAAATGTTATGGCGGCCCTGACGGCTTTGGGGAAGGGGCAGATTGGTCCGTGCCCCCTCAAAAGAACTATTTGTTCGATACGACTCCCTGGTGCTATTTTTTTTTTTTATACTAAAAAGTGTAAAACACCTGTAAATCAGCCTACTAGTTCTGGATCCACCCTTGAAGTGGAGTTGTACAGACCTTAATTTGGGCGTTTTCCAGCGTGCACTAGTGAGATTGTGCTGATGTGGCCTTTGGAATTGAAGTTCGGTAACATAAGCTATAATAGCTTTATGGGTTGGACTTACAAAGGGTTCGTTGCACGCAGCTCTCTGCCCTCCGCTGGAGATCTTGCCTTGCATTATTGCCGACTTGAACTCTCTCCAGTTTTCTATCGTGCACAGAGGAAAAGTTGTCATTCTGTAAACTGATTTGAAAGAAGTTCCCCAAACCATACCCAGAAATGATAGGATTTAGTTCAAGATAAAAATCTGAACAAATGGGACCCCCTCATTTAAAAAAAGCCCAAATCGAACACATGTTTGTTTTTTCAGACATTCGGTTTCTCAGTGTTAGTTGGTTTATGGTTATTAAATTTTCATAGGCTTGAAGACAGAGAGACCTTAGCTTGTGCAACCCTCCACGTCTTTTAGTTCATTAACCTATACTCAAGGTATTTTAATCAAGGACAATGCTGAATGTGAAATTTGGTGTCAGAGGTTTATAGTTAACTTTGTTTTTATTTTTCTGTTTCGCTGATGTAATTATTTTGTTTCTATTCAGTTTTGTTTGTTTATACTGATTTTGCTTTTGTTGTGTCTTGTTTTGAAGTATTTTAGAGGTTAGGCTTTTAACAGCTGGAGATTGGGTCGTGGTGGCACAAAAATAAAGTTATGCTATAGGTTCACACATTTCCCTTTTTAAACCTGATTAACCACTAACAGTAATTCTTGAGTAAATTGGGACACGATGCATGCCTCAGGATAATTCTGATAGTTCAGTGGAGGATTCTGAGAAATAGCAGAGTACCACAACAAATTTGAACATTGTCAGTGTAGTTGGACCTAATTAGGGAATGTGTGAACCTGTAGATTCCTCGCATGTGTAACCACACTTCGAAAAAACCTACTTTATCCTGAGGAGTATGGCGCATCCCTGCATCGAGCTAACATAAAAAAAGCACTCAATTTCGCCTAAAACCTAAAGTGGCCTCGGCATTTTCTCCAAAATCCCGGCAATGCATTTTTTGGAGAAATAAACTTTAAGGTGTTTTTCCACTATAATTGACACCAATGTCAAGAAAATTGGTACGTCATGCCATTCTCGCACAATGCCCACTTTTCTGAGACATTTCGGTCACAATGCCCATCTTAATAAAGTGGCCAATGCACCCAGGTTGACACAGACGCGTGAGACCTTGAACTTCAGACGACTGTAATATCAAAATCATTTGTTGCAAAATAATGAATAACGTTTTACAGGTATATGTTTAATGTGTGGTTTTTCATTGGCATGCTTACAAGCATAGTTTGAAAAGGGCTGGGCATAGCCAGCCAAGTTATTAGGACGTAAGATGTTCAATCATGTTCTGATTGATTATACACACGTATGTATCGTTCAACGTCATTGAATAGCTGGCAGGCATTTTAGGATATGAAATGAAGAGGACTCACCATGGTCAAGTTCTATGGAAAAAGCGGTCAGACCAAAAGCTGCAAGCGTGGTCAAAACTCTCGTTACTGCAATAATGTTGTCGCTAAACATTGTACGTGTCTTTAACTGGCCAACAGGTGTAACTAAAAGCCCGTCTGTTCCAGGCCTGACCATGCAAAAAACTGCAGCAGATATAATTAATCACGGTACTTCTGCTAACCCAAAGGAACTTTGTCCCTGGGTTAAACTTTAGTTCGTCGGGACTTTCGAATTTACATTTCCGTGCCCTCAGGGTAGTCAGTTGTGCATGCGGTTAGTCAACACCTGGTGATTGTTAGGCTTCACAAAAACTGCCACTTTGTTTGTATTCGTTTCTAAATCAAGATACCTTAACGTACACAGTTTTGCTCAGTTTGCTTTCAAATGAAGTAAGAAGGTAGCATTTGTTTAAAGTATTCAAGCATGGATAATGGCATTGTCAAGCATGGAGAGCAACTGATGAGGGCGCCATATACTCAAAATCTGAGCTGTTCCTTGCCACTTATCCAATATGCTGTAGGGCATCTCCTGACATAAAGTTTTGATGTCATGTCCAGGATGTCTCTATTTATAAATGCAATATTAGCATGTCCTTTTTGTTTTCAAACGGTCTCTGATTGAGCAACAAAATGAGTAAAAACGAACAATATAAAAGGGAGTGTGAGCAGATGAAAGATGCGTAAAAGTGAACGATAGAAAAAACAACTTGGCAGCCGAAATCAGCAGCGCCAGCAAATGAGTAGAGAATACAATTTAGCCCTGATCGCGATGTTCCATTGATGTTGCTCTTGTTATTGTTTATTATTTGGTAGAGAAGCCAGGCGGAAGCCGCTAACAGGACTTTCCAGGTTGTGTTTCTGTTTGGACAACACATATAGGTCTATTTTGCTCCTACCGAGTTTGGACGATTCAGGGTTATGACGAACATGGAGCGCTGAGGGCGCCCTCTCTTCGACAAGTCAACCTTTGACTAGTACAGGATTTGAGAACTTTGACTGCTTTATTCTCATTCCTGTGTCGTGGGTGGACCACATGAGGTAAAACTTAATCAAAGAAATGCAAGGAAAATACTCTAGGCACAAATAACAATGTGCATGCATTTACACAGGTTGGCAAGAAATTAAACACAAAAAGAATCCAAAAACATAAAAAAAGGAAAAGTTTACAGATCAAGAAAGTGATACTAATACATGTATAAAGAAATACCGAAAAGGGAAATACATAGAATCGTCTCAAAAAGCTCCTAGGGATTGTAAGTATCACATAAGACAATCTATGAAAATTATCATACAGAACTGTGCTCTCTGGAAGATAAAGTGTCCTCAAGCTGCCTACGGGTCTGGAATACCGAAATCAGCAACTTAACACAAGGAAAAAGTAGAGTTCCTAAATACACTGTAACCTTGCAGCCCTACTGCAATTTCCAGATGAGGAAAAACTAATTCCAAATAAGGAGTCTAGCTCATGAATATTCACAATGTTAATATTTATTAGTGGAAAAAATGGCGAGTGTATGTGCTTAGGCAGGCACACAAAAATTAAATTCCTAAACTATTATAACGTCACGTTCATACGTGGGGTGGTGATACCCTACGGTGGTGGGGTACGTCTAAGCTTTAAGTTAGGGATTGACCTCTCCGGTGATCAAGATACTCCAAATAAACATCGAAAATTGGCACAAATTAGGATTTCCCCAATAGAAAATTTACACAATTTTGGACACAAGTAAAAGAGTTTGACAATAGCAGAGCCAGTTGACAAAGAGATCACGAAGCAAACGTCAACCGGACAAAGGGACACAATTCATAAGGACACTGCGCAACCTGATCTCTCCACAGAGTTCAGCAGTGAAAAGACCACAAACTGAAACAATTCAAGCACATGTAATAGTTTTAGTTTTCGGAAGGCTCAAGAAAAAAATATTGATGCGATACGGAATATCATGGCGGCAAAATGTGACTGAAAATTACGCTACAAATTACCCATCAAATAACGAACAATGATCACTAACACAGTTATAAATGGAATCTTAAACTCACCAGTGGTCTCTGGTGTAAGACTCTCGGAACAGAGTGGTCTCAAGATATAATGGAAACTTGGTGTGACTGAACAATTGCGTAGCTTAAGCGAAAAACCACAAGGACCAACTACAACTACAACCAACCGCAACTCACACTGTCAGGGGCGAACATAACATCCCCCGTGGTGATACCATCATCACGTACAGTGTGAATACAAATAATAAGGTTACAATGAAACAGTAAAAAAGTTTAATAATAATCAGAACAGTAAATATGAAAACAGCTAGAAAACACTTGATACGCGGTGCCTACATATCTAAGTAGCATCTGGTAGAGTCCAAGCTCATGAGTCCATGGCGATCAGTCCCTCCGAGTGAATCAGAAGGACAAAGTCGCTTATTGGCTGCAAAAACGTTTTCTTCACCAACTCACGGGTTGGTTGTAGGAACGGGCTCCTCTGGTCTGCGGCTACCATCTCCATGCTGGCTTTGGTGATGTGTCCGTCTCCACTTGCTTCAAAGCCAAAAGCCTTGCCGAGAGGCCAGTCGTATTGCCGGGAGTCACATTTGACGATGACAACATCTTTCAGGTCTCTCTTTGGCTGCTGCCATTTCACTCTAGTCTGTAGCAGAGGTAGGAAAGCCTTCCGCCACTTGTCCCAGAACATGTTGGATAGATGCTGAACGAGTCTCCAATGGCTCCTCAAGAGATCTTTGGGATCACATGGTCCGTCTGGGGCTGTCACCTGGAATGGCTTCATAGTGAGCAGCATACTGGGCGACAGGTATAGGGGAGCTCTGGTGTGTCGCTACTTGGCAGTAACGGTTGGTAGTTTATTATGGCAACGACTTCTGCCATAAGAGTTGTGTAGATTTCATAGGTCAGCTGGCTAGGCTTGACATCTCGCATCTTCTAGGATGCGGCGGGAAATGCCGATCATTCGCTCCCAAGCCCAACCCATAATCGATGCATGGGGAGGGTTGAAAACCCACTGGCAGCCCCGGGTAAGTAGTTACCTTTTGATAGGTTCCTTGTCTTGGAGCTGTTGTTCAAGTTCATTACAGGCACCAACAAATTTTAGGCAGGAGTCTTGACGCTTACCTCTCAGTGTCTTGCATGCCACACAGCCTTGGATCACCTTGGATATTTGCCTCTGGCCACCAAGAACCCAGTAACCTTCATTCCTTATCGTACCCAATGTAATGTATCGAACTTGGTGGCTGCACTGCTGATGGAACTGCGTGATGATGAGCTTTGTGACATGGTTGTTCTTTGGTAGTACAGCTGTGTGTGCTGCTCTGTGTGGTAGTTGAGATGTCTGCAGTCTGCCTCCGACTCGGAGTACCCTGTTTCTGTCAAGGTAGGGATTGAGCGAAGCCAGCTTGTTTTTCTTGGTCAACTTCCCACTTCTTCATTCGGCTAACTTGGCAGCAAAGGCTTCACTCTGCACACCTGTTATTATGATGGTCTCAGCTTAGAGACGCTTTTTGATGGACTTTGCCTTCTCACAGACATGCCAACTCTTGCAGTCGGATTCTGCTCTGAATGAGTTGGCAATGTGGATCAAGCTGGTAGTGGCTCTCATTGCTGAATTCCAACTAGAAAATCTGGCAAATCTTTCACTGCCGAGGGGTGCATCGGTCAAGACAAATTGTTGCAGCTTATCTTCTCTGGAGATACCTCTGGGTCATCCTGAAGAATTTATCTGCTCGTGGCTCGTTGGCAGGTTCTTTTGCATCACAAACTCTGGTCCGGCAATCCACATGAAACCACTTAACTCTGCTGCCGGAGTAGACCTCGAAGCTAGGTCAGCTGGGCTTATCTCTGACAGGACATACGCCCACTGCTCAGGCTTAGAGGTTTTGAGTGACTGGTTTACTCGGTTGCACACGTAAGTGCGGAGGCGACGTTTTCTGTTGGTGTACCCTAGGACTACTTAGCTGTCAGAGTACAACTTAGATTCGTCAAGTTTGGTCATTAGTTCCTGGGTGACATAGTCTTCAATTTCTGTAGCCAGAACTGATGTATGGAGCTCAAGGCGTGGGATGGTGACGGCTGCTTTAGGTGGCAGCTTTTCTTTATCCATCACCAACTGGACATGGACTTAATCGTTGATGCCAACAGTCCTCAGGTAGCAGACTGCACCTATGGCCTCATTTAAAGGACCCCCACAAGTATGTAATTCTTTTCTCACTACTTCTGCGGTTGGGAATGAGCGAGGAACTCACACATACGTCAAGGCAATCAGGGACCTTCTCCATATCACTAAGTCTTGGAGCAGCTCCCTTGGGAGTGGATCATCCCAGCCATCGCCATCTTGTGTCATGTCTTGCAGCAGCATCTTCCCACTTGAAGATCACAGGTGCTGCCAACCCAATCGGGTCAAAACTTCATTGACTTTGAACAGCACCGTCCTGTTGGTGCAGGCGTTGGCATACGGTTCTGCTATTTGAAAGGTGGAGTATGCCTTCAGGTCCTAGGATACTCCCAATGTACGCCGAACGGTGCTTTCATCTTTGCTGGAGAGGTCAGCTGGAGCCAGGTTTGGGGCCAACTTGCTATGCTCAAATGCTGCCAGGACATTAGCATCGCTGGAAAAGAACTTGTGCAGACGGCTATTGGCAGTGGACAGGAGATTCTCGTCGACTTCCTCTTCCTTGATTGGTAAGGACATAAGCAGGTCGTCCATGTTGAAATTTCCTTCTATCAGCTCCCTCACATCGGTGTCAAACTCTGGTTCACCTTCTTCACAGTTTTTTCTTAGGCAACTGATGGCCACAGCTGGGGATATTTAGTTTCCAAAGACATGCGCTGTCATGCATTAAGTTACAATGGCTGCAATCGGGTTGTTTTCCTCATACCATAGGAAACGTAGGAATATTCTGTGGTCTTCTCGGACTTTGAAGGCATAAAACATATGCTTGACGTCTGCGGTGACTGCAATTGGTTCCTCTCAGGGCCTGATCAGTACGCCCAGGAGCTGGTTCATCTGATCAAGTCTGCTTAACTTACTTAAAGTTAATGCTGATTACATATTGATGAAGGTAGTAGATGTCTGCCCGGATGTGGGCGCCCTTTAAACAAATCTCGCTGACAATTACCCAGCCTAGGTCGGGGACGGTGCACCCATGGCTGGTCATCTTTGCCGTTGATCACCTCTCTCACTTTGTGGAACTGCGGAGCATCTCTGCCAAGTAGTACTTCTATTTCGGCATCTTTGTTCAGGGGTATCATAGGAACAATTGGCTTCAAGTGATCAAGCCTCTGTCAAATCTGGTGTGGGGATCCCGCCACATCTCCAGGAATGTTGTTGCACTTAAACAGCGTAGGCGGTAGAGCAGAAACTGTGCCGTCCATACTCCTAGGCCGAAACGTTTTCTACCATAGATTTCCTGGAGGCCATTAACCATCTTGACAGCATACGTTGACTTATTCTGCTCTACTCCTAATCTCTCAAGAAGACTATCGTTTATAAGGGAACCATCACTTTGGTGGTCGATGATGGCGAATGTGGTGATAACATGGCCCAGCTTCTCTTCCAGGTAGGCTTTTGCCAACCAAATTTTGGTGCATGACCGGCTTTTTTTTTAAACCGTTGCCACATACTCTAGTGCATTTAGGTGTGACGATTACCTGGGGCCGGTTGTCGTTCTCCTTGGTAAGGGGTGTCTTATTTAACGCTGGCGGAACATCTTGACTGGGTACAGGCCTGTGCATGACGTTAACATGGGACTTGCCGCAGATGTCACATCTCACTTGGGTCTTACAGTTCTTAAGGATGTAGTTGGTCCTCAAACATCGGTCTTCAAACACAGGCGATTCTCTTTCACAATTGATATCTTCTCATCTGGAATTTCCCTCGGAAGGCCCTGCGGATCGTGTGATGTGTCGTGTATCGGGCAACAGAATGTCTCCTTTGCTGCAGACCTTTCCTTCACCCCAGTTTTTCTTACTGTGGAAGAAGGCTTTGACGAAGAGTGTTCAGGTGCACTCTTGACAGCATTAGAAAACTGGAGGCTCGGGTCGTTTTGTATTCTGGCATGGTGCTGGATGAATTTCACAAATTCCTCAAAAGAAGAAAGGAAGAGGATTGCATGCTGCTTCTTGTATTCGGACCCCTTTTCTCGCCACTTGTTCTGAGGCCACTTTGGCAATAGGCCTATTTACGCTAGGGGCTGCAATACCCTCGAGGAGTCCAGTTCTGGGGAGCCATTTTTTTCTTCCAGATACTCCCGAGTTCGCTTAAGACCATGTCAATGTGGATGGCATAGATCTTTTGGACGAACAATTTTGTCTCACCCTCAAGGGAATCCAGAACCAGGTTTAACTCCTCGTGTGGCTGATTCCACTCTTTACCAGCTCTTTTTTCCCCAACATGTTGCTAATGGAGTCGAGACTCTCCTTGATAGGTGGGCTAAGGGGCTCCGGTAGCCTGTTATCTTTGGGGATGGGCTGTGATGGTAGTGCGGGCTTGGTTTTAACATCATTCTTTTTGTCCTGTATCACAGGCTGAACTTGTGATGGGGACTTTTCTTCGATCTTGATAGCTTGGTTTTAGCTTCAAATAACTCCGTCTCAGGTTCTTTAAAGTGGTGGGATATATAGTCTCTGGTTTGGACAGCGGAGTCAAGAACTGGCAACTGCAAATCTTCCGGGATATTGGTACACCCTTCCTTCAAGGCGACTGGCTCTGAAAATTCTGCTTCCGCTCTGCCCTGCATACTCCTTTCCTGTTCCAAGTAGAAGAAAAGCATTGCTGATGAATATGGATCCCTTTCTGGGTGAATTCCTCTCTTGTTTTCAAGGACTTGGCCTCAGCACGAGCCAGAATGGCTGCTGAGCTCGTCTTCCACTTCAGGAAACTTTTGTTGATTTCCCGTGATGCCCGTGTTTGTTGAGAAATGGTACTGGTTATGTCGTCTGAGTCGAGTACTTCAATCATCTTGAAAAATTCTTTTTTCTATGACGAACATGGAGCGCCAAGAGTGCCTTCCCTTCGACAAGTTAACCTCTGACGAGTACAGGTCTGGATTTGTAAGCTTTGTGGGTGGACCACATGAGGTAAAACTGAAACACAAAGAAATGCAAGGAAAATGCTCTAAGCACAAATAACAATGTCCATGCATTTACAAAGGTTGGCAAGATATTAAACATAAAAAAATCAAAACCATGAAAATATAAATGAAAAGTTTACAGATCCAAAAAGTCAAACCGATACAGGTATAACAAACACCGCAAAGGTAAATACATAGAATCGTCTCAAAAAGCTCCAAGGGATTGTAAGTATATCATAAGACAATCTAAGAAAATCATCATACAGAACTGTGCTCTCTGGAAGATGAAGTGTCCTCAAACTGCCTACGGGTCTGGAATACCAAAATCAGCAACCTAACATAAGGAAAAAGTATAGTTGTTAAATACACTGTAACCTTGCAGCCCTACTGTTGAATTTCCGTAGAAGGAAAAGCTAATCCCAAATATGGAATCTAGCTCATGAATATTCACAACATCGTGGAAAAAATGGCGAGTTCATTTGCTTAGGCAGGCCTCGGGTGCACACAAAAACTAGGTTACTAATCTAATATTTCTTTCAATTATCATTGATGTAAAAACATAAAATGACCAAGAATCGACTGTTTCTTGACCAGAAAACAATACTGAACATTTACAACCAGGTCACCTGAAAAAAAACCGGCCCTGATACTCAGGAAAGGTTTGAGACTCAAAAACAGGGCAAGTATTCGCAAAGCACAAGAATATAATCGATGCAATACGGAAGATCATGGCGGAAAAATGGGGTTGAAAATTACACTACAAATTAGTCAACAAACATCGAACAACTATCACTAACACAATTATAAATGGAATCTTAAACTCACCATTATTCTTCTGGTGTAAGGCTGTTGGAACAGAGTGGTTTAAAATATGATTAAAAACGGGCACCAAAATGGACTGAAAATTAATTGGTGTGACTGAACATTTGCGTAGCTTATGCGAAAATCCACAAGGATCTCAAGAGGGCGCTATACTACATTCAACCGCAGCTCACACTGCTTGCGTTGGGAGTAATTTAAATGCCCTTTTCTTACCCTGACAAAAGTAGGGAAATAATAGGAAAAAATTACCTGAATGTCCTGCTCTTCTGGAACACCAGGGGGGGGGGAGTGGCAGCTATTTAGTGACATGAACAACCTAACGACGTGCTGGCGCCCTCAAAAGCAACACAACTTGTATCCTGCTGACTACGTGCCTCCGACACAATAAGTCTATTTTATTGCTGATACCGCATGAGTGATTTTGAACTGTGGTAGAAAGGCATTGTGGGAGGAACAAAGGAGCAAACATCGACCTTTTTCCTTCCCACAATGCCTTTCTACCATTGTGCAAAGTCAACCGTGCGGTATCAGCAACAAGGCTTATGCGTCTTCATCAAGTTCAGCAAAGTCTCAGTTCAAGCAAACCAGCTGATTAGAAAATCCGGCCTGAATTCAGACTGCTTGCCGAAGATTGAGCGGAAACGGGAAAGGTAACAACAGTATGGTGCAACATACATGTACATCACATTTTGCAACCTCATACACTTGATGCTGCATGGAAAGAAAATAAAGAGCGAAGGGCCCGGCTGTTACAAAGGAGGCCACATAGAACGACGTGCGTCATACGTATTGTTCTCAGGATGTATGTACTGTGCTTTTTTCTGAGCAAAGGCCCTGTATGTAATATGCATATGTGCATATCTACCGTTTATTACTGGGTTAGGATATAGGAAGATATTTATTGGCATAAGCGAGGACCGGTCTGATCTTGTGTTTTGGCCCTCATAGGCACTGCGGCATGCTTGTGTAATGTTCTTTTGAAAGAACATTACTGTCACTGTTCTTTTCATTCATGGAAGACATACTAACGGAAGTACAGAGCTCAAAAAGAAGTCCAGAGCTTAGGGAAGTAACAACTGATGAGCTTGATGGGCTAGGGTCAGTTTTGTTCCCCTTGCAATGCATTGATTATTCTAGTTCACCTTGTTTCTCCTGAGAACTTCAGTAAGAGGTTCACCCGTAAAGAGCCGGGGGGGGATCCCTCTGTTGATTTTTGCTTATAGCATCTCCGGGATTAACTTCTGCGTGCTAATTCCTCATGACAATTTTTTCAATGTATTAGCCTCATTTTTATTCACAATTTATGAGAATTGGACATGGCGTTCTCTCTCAGTGAAGAATTTTAGGAGGCTGGGTGAAGTGTGATGTGAAATTTACCATTGACTTTGTACACAGAAGTACATCGTACAAAGGACAGTGGTTTCCTTTTTTCAGGAACTCTCTTGCTTTGAGGAAGGTCTATTAATTGTATAAACATGAAGCTGTCGAACATAGTAATAGAATCTTATAATTCAGTAATATTTCTGTGCTACAAAAAATTAATAAACGTTTCTCTAGTAAAAAAAAGGTCGAATTATCCACGTTTATGTACATTTGTGCTCAAAATTATTCATACCCTTTGGAAAATAGTATATTTTTCTAAATTCTTCATTTGTAAAAGCTATTGTGTCGGTATTTCCTCTATATCTTTTGTGTATTTGAACAATACACAAACCTACATGTGTGTTGGTTATACTTCATTTGCGCAATAATAGATACGGCCAGGGGTTCTTTTTGCTCCTGTTCAAAATTATTCATACCCAAGACAAAATCCCAAGAAACACTTACCTTTCATTCATACTGCTTATTTTCACTTTCTCTGACTGCAAGAATCTTTGGCATGAAGCTATTTCAAGATGTTCCTATAGAATAAATACCTTCTTTTGATGACCTTGTGTTCAAGATTATGGTGAAATGCCATCTCCTCCAAAGAGTCTAAAAAGAAGAAAAGCTTTCAGTTCAGTCTCAGGTACTCGTCACCATGGCCAAGAAAAGGAACGTATTGAGGAAATACGCCAGCGTATCGTGAATGCCCATAAAGAGGGTAAGGGATACAAGGCAATTTCCAAGCAATTATGAGGTCCCTGTTGCAACAGTTCAGAGTATCAAGAGGTTCAACACAGCGAAAACCTCAATGGGCGTGGCAGGAAGTACAAAGTATTTCTTGGAGTCGCCAGAAAAATCTGCCGGGAGGCCAACAACGACCCGAGAATCACAACCAAGGTCCTAATTTATACCATTGACAAGGCAGGGACGAAGGTATCACCGGCAACCATGCAGTGAGTATTGCACAAAGGAGGTCTCCGCAGACGCAGGCCC